TTGCAGCACTGTTGACAATAGCAAAAAGATGGAAACCACCTAGGTGCCCATCAATGGACAAATGGACAAACAAATTATGGTATATTCACAAATGGAATACTATGTAACAATAAAGACACCTTGCTGAAAATCATAGTAAGATTTTTTAATAGTAAGAAGTAAGTAGGTTAATAGATTTACTTTTTATTAGTAAGAAAAGACAATTTTGATTTTTGACTCTGTTAGCTGCTTCTGCTTATTTTATGCATAGTCAGGAAGTTCTGGTTCTGCTAATATTTGTATACAGGTCTTTTCAAAAATAATGGATGAGATTTTTTTTTCTCCCCCAAAATAGTTACTAAGTTGAGGTTTAGCTCAGGGATAGCAAAAGAGTCTCCCCTGCTGCCTTTCCCGTGTGCTCTCAATGCCTATGACCAACGTGGATAACTGCCTCCCACACTTGACTGCTGCACTTAAACAAGCCGAAATCATTTACTCAGCACTTAAGAAGGCCTCTGTCAGTAGAGTTGGCAAGAAAGGTGAAATCTTTTTGCGCTTCTTAGTTTATAGTTTATGGTCTAATTAAAGTCCAAGAATTGTTTTCATCTCTCAGCTGGACTTTAGTCTGCTTCAGCAAGAGCAAAATACTCACTTTATATTATACTTATTTTTTTACAGGTCACTGAGCCACATTCCCACCCACAAGAGGTATTGGAAAATCACTCAGGGTGAATGTTGCCATGCTTTTTAGTTGCTTCATGATCTGGCTGACCCTCTCCTGGTAGCCACCCAAAAAGCCATTGCCACTGAGTCAGTTCTGACTCAGAGCATCCCTGTAGGACAGAGTAGAACTACCCGAAAGGGTTTCTAAGGAGCATCTGGTGGATTTGAACTGCCAGCCTTTTGATTTGCAGCCGAGCTTTTAACCACTGTACCACCAAGGCTTCTGGTAGCCACAAGGAACGTTTTATTTTGTTTCGAAACCTACTTGAACTCTTCTAGCACCCCTTCCTTTGTCAAGTTAGTGCCTACATATCATTTGGCTCTCAGTTTAAATGTCTCAGCAAACCTTTCACCTCCAAACCTGTTAAGTTACCACCTATCCATCAGCAATTTTTAATTGTGGTATTATATTAAATGCAGAATGAGAGATTGACAATTATAATTGTCAGTGGAACACTTAGACACTGTTGGTGGGCATGTAAAATGGAAAACTGAACTAGAGTCAAAATGAATAACAGTTTCCCACCAGGTTAATATTGACTGCTTGCTCTTTGATCGATGAGGTAGGTACTTCCCATTTTACTGGTGAGGGAACTGAGACTTAAAGGGTTAAAAGGTATGAAAATAGACACAAACAACCTCATCTTCCCTCCACCTACTGACCTATATGTATCTGAACCTATAAATATTTTCTTCATTCATGTTACACATAGAAGAAATATTCGGACTACTTGTACTTTTACTTATGACATTTGGGACCTTGATTCTTCTGTTATTCTCTCCTGTAACGCTGTTTTCTCTCTTTCCGTTAGATCATTCTACCAGTACAGTAACATGCCTTAACATTATCTTAATATCATCTTAAAAGAGAACAAAACAAAAAAGCTACTTTTAAGGTATATTCCCTTCTAGCCAGTACTCAATTTCTGTGCTCGCCTGTACAGCAGAATTTCTCCAAAGAGTTGTCTGAAGCCTTTGTCTCCACTTCTCCTCCCATTCTCTTTCAGTCTCCTGCAAATGTATTTTCATTCACTCCAGTCCCCTGAAACAGCTCTTCTGTTCTAAAAACTTCATCTTGCCAAATCCAAAAGGTAAATTCTCAGTTCTCATTTTAACCTTTGAGCAACATTTGTCACATTTGACCACCATCAATACTAACCTTAATCCTAAGTTTTTTATTTTCCTCTCCAGGCTTCCAAAGCATGTCACTTCCCTTGTTTTCCTCTTACTTTACTGGCATTTCCTCAGTCTGCTCTCTTCATCTTCATCAATTAGAATTGTTCACATTTTAGTCTCCATTGCCCTCTTTTCTATCTGTACTCTTCTTAATGATTTAATCTAACTGTATCACTTTAAATGCTATGTTTACTTGGATGACTCCCAAATTTATCATTCCAACCCTGACTTCTTTTAAACTCCAGCTTGGATAGTCTTTTTAGGTTGCTGTGGATAACTTCAAACACATAAAAATGGAATAAGGAACCTCCATAGACCATCAGCCAGCATCAACAATTATTAAATTAATACATACATAGACTAAATATTCTTAATATATGATAGGGTGATCCCTTTTCTTTTTTGAAGTTGACATTTATATTCCATATAAATTTTAGATTTTGTTCAATTTTTAAATTTCTGAATTGATTGGGTAGATTAATTTGGAAAAGTTTTGACATACTTTTTAATTTGGAAAGATTTGGCTCATCTTTATGAATCTGTTCAGTTGTAGGAAATAGATCTGGCAATTTTGAATATGAAGGGATTTAACATAGGGAGTTGGTACTTAGAAAATTGTTTAAAGGTCTAGAGAGATGAGCTTTAGCCTGGGTCATCAGAAATGAGTCTCAGGATAATGCAGAACTGGCCTATCAAAGGAGCTGCTACCACTGCCCCCATCAGTACAATGGAGAACCAGGACCCCACAACTGGAACTACTGATGTTAAGAATACACCATGGTAGTTACAATTCAGAGATCAAAAAAGATACTGTAACAACAACTGCTCAACATCCACAAAGCTAATGACTGCACTTGGAAACTACTGCAGAAAATAACACTACCTACACAATCGTGCCTGCCAAGAAAAAAGCAAAGAAAACCCACAAAAAACGGCAGGAAGAAGGCTGAAGCCTTATTTCCACCTTCCAAGTTTAACTTAAATGTACCTAATTGGCAGAAGTAATTGATCTTTA